CATTCTATAGATGTTATTGACAGGATGTCATTCATAAAAAAAAACTCTGAAGACAATAATTCTTTTTTGTGTGGTCCAATTATTGTCAATTCAATTATATGCGATACCTATGTAGGAGTGCATTTGCCAGTAATCACTCAAAATATTGACAGAAACAGAAACACGACCATCAAAAGCTCGAAATAACTTGTAAATCTCTTTTTCTTTTTTATAAAGATTATGCACAGAATGGGTAAGAGTAGAATGAGAAACACATTGGGTACCAAGATTTAAAGTGTTTTGACAATAATCAATAAAATCAATTTTTTCATCAAAACTAAAAGACAAATGTTCGATTAAAATAAATTTAGCTAATTCTTCACAATTTTTTCCAACAGAAAAATGAAAAGTGGGATTAATGGGGTACTTGAAAAATTGTCTTTTGCTTTTTCCATACCGGTTATCATTGGGTGTTTCTTCTCAAGACACTTATGAAGGGTAGGATTTTAAGTGTTTTGACAATAATCAATAAAATTGAATTTTTCACCAAAACTAAAAGACAAATGTTCGACGGGAATAAATCTAGCTAAATTTTCATGATTTTTTTAATGAAAAAAATGAAAAGTATAATTTGTGGGGTATTGGGAAATTTGTGTTTAGATTTTTTTCATACCAACTTCTATTGGGTGTTTCTTCTCATGATGCTTGGGAAAGGTATCCTCTTCCTTTTTTAAATTTGAAAATTTGACCATAGTGGTTGCAGGTCACATGGAAGAAATCATCAGTCTTTTAGACCTTCTTGAAATGAAGCTTGAAGATGTTCGACTTTATTGCTTTAGTTGCCATATCGAATTCCTCTGACTCGACGATGATGTACTGGCTTTCTTGGGTTGCTATGATCGGACTTTCAAAATTCTTGATGAAGTGGTGGTTTTCACTTGCCATTGGAACGAGGGAGAGAACTTAAGAGGGTGATTAGAGAGCATATGAGAGCTTAAGAGAGTATTATGAATGCTTAATTAAATGTGTGAAGAAGAATGAGGGGTTTGAGAGATAGTTATAGGTTTTTTGGAGGTTTTTCTCCCCTAAAATGCCCCCAAATTTAGTTATTATTTATTTGCTAAGTCGAAATGACCAAAATAACCTTGAAAATAACCATTTATATCACTGTTGAGAGGGCATACTGGTTATTTGCTCCTCTAGCCCTGAAATGGTCGATCACTGGACTGTTGGGGCTCAAACGATCGACCCAATGGTCGGTCAAGCCCATTTGACTGCCTTTTTAATTTTGTTTTTAAATCATGGAACTGTCAGTTTGAACCAGAATTAGAACCATTGGTTCTGATTCAGGAACTGAACTGACGGTTCTGCTTTCCCAAAACCAGGAATCGAAACCGAACCACATAGAGCCAGTTTTGGTTCAGTTTGGAACCGGCCAACCATCGAACCAGTTCGGTTTTGGTTCAAGCGTGGTTGGGTCCGGTTCGGTTTTGTTCTGGTACAAACCAAACCATGGTCAGGGCTACTGATATGGTTACAGCTAAAACAAGGTGACAGAATAATCTTAGTAGAGGAGTCTGTTGGATGCTGAGTTTATGACACGTATCAAGATAAGGTGTCTGCCAATCTGCCAACTGGCATTCCACCTTGCTGCTATGAAAGGCCTTTGTCGGTTGAGAGCTGGTTGTGCTAAGTGTTGAAATTTGAGCAACCCATATCTATTCATTTAGCTGAAGCCATATGAATGAACAAATTGCTTGCTGCTTTGGAAATTTCAGTGGCGACTGAATTTATTTTTTTGTTTTTTGTTTTATTTTGTCTGAAGACTTCTTTGTTCCTTGTTTATCATAACTTTTTTAGTTTTGGAAATTCTGTCAAAGGATAGCCGGCTTAACAACAATACTCTGTTGGGTCTAATTCCAACATCTTTGACCAATATCACAACGCTTCAAGTTCTGTAAGTTGATTATTACCATGTGTACAAAATATTACTTTTTAGTTGCTAATATTTGACAATTGTACTTCTCATTGGCATAGAGATTTGTCGAATAACAATCTATCAGGAGAAGTTCCTTCTACTGGATCCTTCCAATTGTTCACTCCCATCAGGTGCTTTCTGGTTTTGATACAGCTTTTGGTATTAGCTGCAGCTGCTGTTCTATTAATGCTGATTTTTTGTCTTGTATATGCAGTTTTGCTAACAACCCTTACTTATGTGGTCCCGGTACAACAAAATCTTGTCCTGGTTCCCCTCCTTTGCCTCCACCACCTCCATTTGTTCCTCCAACTGCACCCACTCTTCGAGGTAATTATCCCTATGCTTTCTACTCATTGGAGTTTATTTAAATGTCATTATGATAAGGCTCGTATTCTTGGTTATTCCTAATGAAATTGCAAGAAACTATTTCATACATAAAGTGCTTATGCTTTATGGATGTCATTTCAATAGAAAGTAATGCCTCTAGCACTGGAGCAATTGCTGGGGGAGTTGCTGCAGGTGCTGCTTTGCTATTTGCAGCACCTGCTATTGGATTTGCCTGGTGGCGTCGTCGTAAGCCACAAGAACATTTCTTTGATGTACCTGGTTAGTTTTCAGTCAGTAAATCTACATGTTGTATGCATTTTTATAATATATAGACGCTAATACCTTTTTTACAGCTGAAGAGGATCCAGAAGTTCACTTAGGTCAGCTTAAAAGATTTTCGCTGCGAGAATTACAAGTTGCAACTGATAATTTCAGCAACAAGAACATTTTGGGCAGAGGTGGATTTGGAAAGGTATATAAAGGAAGACTTACAGACGGTTCACTTGTAGCAGTAAAGAGACTAAAAGAAGAACGTACACCTGGTGGAGAGCTTCAGTTTCAAACAGAAGTTGAGATGATTAGCATGGCTGTACATCGAAACTTACTCAGGCTTCGTGGGTTTTGTATGACCCCAACCGAACGATTGCTTGTATATCCTTACATGGCCAATGGAAGTGTTGCATCACGCTTAAGAGGTATTTACCATTTTAATTGCTTAAGTTGGAATGTTTACATGCTTCAAGTAAGCTTAGTTGGTTACCTGAGTATAGATTGCTTTAAGCACATATTTCATACTTGTTTGTAGAGCGTCCACCATCTGAACCACCGCTGGATTGGCCAACTCGACAAAGGATTGCACTGGGTTCTGCTAGGGGATTGTCCTACTTGCACGATCATTGTGATCCTAAAATTATTCATCGTGATGTTAAAGCTGCAAATATTTTGTTGGATGAGGAGTTTGAAGCAGTTGTTGGGGACTTTGGCTTGGCCAAGCTAATGGACTACAAGGATACCCATGTAACGACGGCTGTCCGTGGAACGATAGGACATATTGCTCCAGAATACTTGTCAACAGGAAAGTCCTCTGAGAAGACTGATGTTTTTGGATATGGAATCATGCTTTTAGAACTAATTACAGGTCAAAGAGCATTTGATCTTGCACGTCTTGCAAACGATGATGATGTTATGTTGCTTGATTGGGTAAGTACAAGACACGGTTCCCATCATATCCGAAGCCTTACATTAGAGTTTGGGAAACTGGCATAAAATGTTTGTGTAGTATGTATTCAGATTCGACCAGGTTCATGACTTTTTCTCACTATGTTATGCATTTGGCACTTAGGTGGTGAGATTCTCAGTATGGATTCAGATTCGACCAGGTTCATGACTTTGTTAAAACTGGTCCAGTTTCACCAGGCATTTCTTAGTTCCAATAGGTCAAGTGTTGAGAGTGTGTTTTGCATAAAGCTCTAGTCCGAAATCAATGAGTTCCATACGGAAGTTACTTAATACATAAATATTAAAGGGCAACTAGTTTATTGTTTTTCTTTATAATTTTATAATTTAGTTTTCCGATTTATAGTACATCAGGTAGGATTTTATCTGGTTTTCCTGCAATAGAATGAGTTGAGTCATCAGACATTTGTGGCTTTCAGGTAAAAGGACTTCTGAAAGAGAAAAAGCTGGAGATGTTGATTGATCCAGATCTGCAGAACAACTATGTTGGCTCTGAAGTAGAATCACTTATCCAAGTTGCACTGCTTTGCACTCAGGGCTCTCCAATGGAACGGCCGAAGATGTCAGAGGTGGTGAGAATGCTTGAAGGCGACGGTCTTGCTGAGAGGTGGGACGAATGGCAAAGGGTGGAAGTGGTTCAGCATGAAGCCGAGTTTGTTCCACGCAATCGTGCCTCCGACTGGATTCTGGACTCCACTGACAACCTCCGTGCAGTTGAGTTATCTGGACCGAGGTGAGTTTGAAATGATCTGATAGATGAAAAATCATCTGAAGTCTATTCTTTCAGCATTTTCATGTCTCCCATAAGATCATCTAATATCCCAAGTTGAATCACATTTGTGTATATTAGTTTATGGAGCCACAGTAACATTTGCGGTTCTCTCTTAATGTGTAATTTTTTTTGGTGACACCATGTTGCTTTCCTTTGTTGCAATAGGTACAATTGCATCATTTTGTAAAAGATTTCATATTTTCGAGGGATTTGTATGAACATAAGATTTTTCATATTAAAATTGAATCCCTAAAATCTTGTATCAAGGTTGTTCATTCAATTTCCATCATACTAAAATTGCTGAGGAACAAGTCACTTGAATCATACATATTTTACCATAACTTGGTTTGTGCAAACTTGTCTGAACCTTTGGTTTCTGATTGTGCATTTAACATATATTATTGTTCACTGAGAAATTTCATTTCTCATGTCATCACTTGATCGTTTCATCTTTTGATGTACAGATATTGTGCATATATTTTGCTTAATGTTGTCATCCGAGCACTTGTTTAAAACACAAAACATCTTATAACTGTGAATGCTTGAAGATGATTGAAATTGGACAAATCTGTTCTCTCCAGCATTCAAGTCAGTTGATTATGGTGATATAATTTTCATCATGACTTATATCGAAGTTATATTTGTTTGATGATATTGTTTTATCTTCCAATGACATGTTCAAAATTTTAACTATTTATCAAGGTTTTTTGATTACTCGAGATTTGATGAGAACTGAATCTAAATTCTTATTGCAAAAGTTGTAGAACAGAATAAATGAGTGTTAGATTTGATATGATAATGTTAGAACTCTTATTCTTATTGCCCCCAGGAAGACCCCACACAAGTATCGGAAAGCAAATGCCTTTTTTGCTCACCCATCTCCAGCAGTTCCATGTGCTGTTACTTTGTTACGACTTATCAATAGCTCTTCTACTTTGTTGTCTTCTACACCCTATAGAATAGTTGGCCTTTTCATACATTTACTTATGGTATTGAATCTATGATCTCTTGATTGACATCCAAACGGTAGCATGATGTAATAAGTCTTCCATCACTGTGAGACTCAACAGAGGGTTAAATATTTGCAATGCTCTTAGAAATATTATGGAAAGGATATTTGCAACACCCAAACCAAAAAAAAAAAAAGACTCTCAATCATGTAAATAGATTGGGCAGATTACTTTTCCTAATGGACACAAGACCATTTAATTACCTTCAAGCATGACATAAACCTAATTATGAGTTATAGACTCGATGATGATTTATAAGGTTGCTGTTTCTATAGTATGTGGGCAATCTAAATATCCTACCTAGTCAATATGTTTTTTTTTTTTTTAAACAATAATTGCCCATTTCATATCCCATAGTAGTTTTCATCCCACTATTCCACATTTATTCTTTAGAAATAATATTAAAAGATGTCATAATAGAAAGATATAGGAGGCTTATTTAATCTCTTTTAATACGACCCATAATTGCTCTCTCTCTCTCTCTCAATTCAACGTACGCCATCATATATGCCCCCAATCGAATTGGTACTCTCCCTCATCCATCATCACCAACTCCTCTCTTCTCCGTGGCTTCCTCCCCTCTTCTTCTCCGCTCCCGCCGCCGCCACCTCTTCTCCTACACCACCTACTCCACCCCACCTCTTCTCTTCCGCCTTCCTTCACTTTTGCGGCATATCCTAACATACCGCAGGTCAAGGTTAAGATAACTTTAATAGTTATGCTAGTGCGGTCATATTACATTCAATAATTGAATCTTCACCCATACGAGAGATTTGAGACCAATCAGAACAATTTGTACTTGACAAACACTGGGTTGGGTCATGCTAATTTTCGATCATTCTATTTAGTTGTACTGATTTCAGATTATACCGATAAAACAATGATATATATCATAGGATACAGTTAAGAGAAAAATATTAGACACAGATTTCATTACCTGCTTTCCATGACCAGAGATAAAGAGATCTCTGTATGTACAACAAATTTTCCCATATGATGAACAATTCATCATACAGCTTCATCATCATCGTCTGTATCAAGCTCGAGACCTTCCGCCGCTAAAAGCTGACTAATGACCCTTTTCTTGTCTTCCTCTGCCTTTTTCCGCATTAAATCTCTCTTCTTCAGAACAAGTGTATGTCTTCTCAGGGTATTGGTGAAGTACTCCATGGATGCTTTCTTCTCCTTTGCCAAAATCTTCCTCTCTTCTTCAGGATCAATCTGAAATATGGTGACATTTACTAAGTGCTAGTGAACCTAAGAGGAAGAAAGTAATGCTGCCGAATAAGCACTGAAAGGAGAGCAGTAAAAGAGTAAAACCCTGTACCACAGGAGTGTCAGCCATATGAAGGGATCTTCAGTGATGTAAAAAAGAAAAAATGAAAATCCGAAGAAAACAGAAAGTATCTAGTTAGAAACATCTAAATTGCATTTAAACAAAAATTCAAAAATAATGAAATAGTGTTTCAACAAAATGAACGACGACGTGAGACCAATTGACTCAGTAATCATGGTTTTCACACTTAAAAAATCATGATTTATACTACTTGGAGTTAATATGACAACCTGCGACTAACAATGAAGTAGGTAAAAGCTATGACAAAGTAATAAAATGAAGTGTCGTTCATGAGTAAAGCACCAGAAACACAGGATTGAAAGTAAGTCAAACAAACAATTAAACACCTTTTTTAAAAAATGGAGGTACTCATTAGTCCTTATGTCAAAAAAAATTGTCTTAATTTAATGGTATGAAAAAAGCTTTGGATCAATCAACACCACAAGAATGCACATTCAGTAATGAATTAATGAGGTGCCAGTTAGCTATTTGCTGGCATTCAAGCAGTCCCAAGACAAATTCATGTATATAATATAATGTACTTATAAACCTTTGAACGAGAAAGACGACGTGCTCGGAGATTCATCTCACGTTGCTGCTGTTCAGCCCAAGCAGCAATTGCCATATCACCACGCTGATCAAATGCTTTTTGCTTTTTCATCACCCATTCCATCCATGCCTGGGAAGCCTGATAGGTGCAAACACAAAGAATGTTGGAATTTATACAAAGAAAACCATTTACTTCTAAAATAAAAGAGGCTGATAGTAATGCACCTGTATATGACAAATATTTCACATTTTTGTATAGCATTAATTATAAAGATGTCCATACAATTAAATTTATGGTGAAATTTTCCAATAACACAAAAAGAGTTGAATCAAAGTGTTGGCAATGAGAAATGTCTTAAAACCTGTATCATATATCAGGGTAGAGGAAATGGGGCCAAGAGGCACTCTCGCCTCCCTCGCTTTCCTTTATGCACCTTGAAGGTTGTGTCGTATCTCTGCATCTCTCTCTCGGTTACCATCATAATAGTAAACTACTTTGTTAACAAGAGTTGAAGGCCAGCAGAGGCAACTGTGAGGCTGACATATATGGCCTTCCTCTTTTACTACAAAAAAAGTCTATATGGATTAAATCATCGGCCTTTCTCTAGGGAGGCACTTTTGGTAGACAGGCATATTTGGATTGCTTTCTCAAGTTTAAATCAGTAAAACTTTTTAATATATTATCTATAAACTCTTTAATAAGGTTAACTACAAATGCTAATTCTGTATGCACAGTTATCTTTTATATAACCTAACTGAGCTGTTTTATTATGGTATGTGCAATGTTATTCTTTTTCTTTCTAATTGTGTTGAGAAGGTATTAATATAAGTGTTCCCTATTGCTCCATTGTTGGATCTTCAAATTAATTTATATTTTTATATTTAGCCCCTGATAAATATAGTTTTGAGATCATATACAGTGTAGGAATTTCATAAAACAGAAGCAAACAAAGCTGCTTTAAACTGACTAACTTGGAAGCTTCACTATTGTTATTTTTAGCATATCTTTTGGACCTGTTCAGTTGCTCAAGGGCATAGAAAAGCTCCGCAAGTTACAAACTTAGGTACCACATATTTCTCTCAATTAAGGTTTACTTTGACAAATTCATGGGTCACTTTCCATGACATTTATCAGGATATAACTAAGAACCTACAACCCTGTGACACAAACTTTATATTAACATCTACAATGTCTATAATATATACTTCCATCTGAAACACTAACTATAGGCTATCCTATCACTTAAATAGTAATATTTTATTAACTTTAGAGCATCAGTTGATGTTCCATCAACTTTAGGATACTGATTAAGAATTCTCCTACAATTGATAAGGTATTAAGAAAATATCAATTGGTTTCAGAAACTAAATTATTATTTTTTTTGCATTCATTGATTTTAAAAACTAAGTTATTAATTAATTGTAAACAATACATTATGAATTTATTGTCAAAAATAAATCCTTCATCAATTTTATAACAAAAAAATTTACAAAATTATATTATTTAATATTTATTTAGATTTGATTCAAAACTTATACTATGAACTTCTTAGTTATTTTCCTTTTTAAATACACAAGTTTATTTTCTCAAGTCTTTGAATAAGCCAATTAGCATACCACGTTTTTGCACCGTGAGGGTATTGTAAATTCCTAAAGTATCTCTATAACATTTCTATTGTAAGAGGAATGAGATAAAAAAGAGTCAGTTTGACACATCTTGGTCACAAAAACAATAATCACAAAGAAATTTTGGCAAGATTGAGGTAGCAAAAACAACCTCATAACCTCTCATTACAAGACATGGAATGGTTAATTAAAAAGTAGTCAATAAAATGGGCATAATAATTAGATTAAGAATGTAAACGAATATACAAAATTATAATATGTACCTTCATAGGATTGACACGGTGATCTCTGTCGTATTGTCGCCTCTGCTCATCATCTATTAGAAGCTCATAAGCAGCTTGAATTTTGATAAATCGAGATTCAGCTGTTTCTCCTTCCTCAAGAGTTCCTCTACCATCATAAACTTTAGAAGACAAGAACAAAAGTATCAGCTGGGTACTTAGAGCAATTGCTAATGATTGTTTATAATATAACCTATTAGAAGTGCAGATAGAAAGAAAAAGAACAGAAAAAACTAATACCTCACGTTTCATACTGAAAAAAGAATAGATTGAGACAAGTGGAGAAACTCGAACAATGATTCTAGAGTTCAATACACAATGAAAGAGACAATAAAGAGTTTAATTATATGATACTGAGATCTAGTGTCAAGAAAATTCAAAACCAAAAGTTATACATTATTTCACTAAACAAAATAATACATCT